AATTTTCTTTAAAATGATATATACAAGTTTGCATTTTGTGAAACGTAATGTTTTCTATAAGCATACAAAGTTCAAAAACATAAAAATTTCCAAAAGTGTCCACAATTCTGGCCACCACTGTATAATTACCATCACTTTATTATCTTACTTATCGCACACATTAAATTACAGAACTGGGGTTTTCATCCGCAGGGAACCTGTTGGCGCTGTTGCATTTTTACTCGCCAAGCTCGCGGTTCATCGGCGATGAGCCGAGCCACAACGTGATATTTTGTAAATGTGATTTTTAGTGCATGTAAATTCAAGTTAGCAGACAAAATAATATATTAAGGTAGTAAAAATTCACAGATAATAAGCATGTAGATGTAAAACTAACTTGTTAAACGTGATATACAAAAATTGTATTAAATTCAAGTTAGCACAGAAAAGAATACATTAAGTATAAGACAATATATAAGCATTTATAACGGAAATAAAAATTCATTTGAAAAATATAAATTAGTACTAATGTACTGAAATTAACCTGTTAAACGTGATAAACAAAAAAAAAAAAAAAATTGTCTTAAATTCTAGTTAACACAGAAAACAATATATTCCTTACACCAGCAGTGTTTGCTAATTTTGATGACCATGGTGATGCATCAAACTATTCTGTCATCTTAGATATCAATAATCTTTTTTATTTCAACTTAATCATCTATTTATGTCACACACCTGCCATCCTCTGAAAGGTTATTGTTTATAAAAGCATTAACAATATATTATCTTGTTAAATTTTTACGCCAGAAAATTGATTTATTCTCATAATTTTAATGACAATAACCAATAATAAAAATAAAAGCATTACTTAGTTATTTAAATTGCTGTTTCTTAGAGCTGTTAATAATTAAGAACACAACGTGAACAGCCGTGTTACAAATTAGCATTCACCCCTCCCGCCGTATTTTCTTCCTTTCATCCCGAACCGAGAACCGGCATCTATCTACGAAAATATTTCTATCTATTTGTTGTTAAAAAATTCAGAAAAAATAAATAAGAGAAGAATAATATAAATCTGCAAATGCGAACAACGACAGTGATAATTCAACAAAATGAACGCAAGAGGAATGGTTGCAAACTTCGAACAAGCGAATAGGATAAATCCGCTAGGTTAGGTTACCAGGTTTGAACTATTATCGCCAAAGTTGGCGATGTTTACATTTACCGGGTTCTCTGCGGAAGTGCTTCCCAGAACTGAAAAGTATAAGATTAGTTTAAGAATACTAAATTTGTTACTTAGATTGTAAATTATGGCAAAACTACTCAAACATTATACAGACAAGAAGGAAACAGATTCATAAGGAATCTTATCTTTCACTTATCTTGCATACAGGAAAGAAAGCAAAGAAAAAATTTGTCACGTTTCTTTGCATAACATATATTTGTCACAATACGCTGTCATGACAATGTTTTCTCTCATAAATAATTGCTATTACTTTAGTATGTTATTAAAAAAAATCAAGCTAAGAGAAAAAACAAATGCAGGCTACCAGCATCCAAAAAGAAACCAATTTTAATTCCATTAAGTGAGATAGCTCTATGAAGTTTTTATAGCATTTTCACACGTAATGTGACTATTAGCCATTATTTCCTTCACAGTCAGCTCTTCGTTTGCAGACAGCCCTTGTGTGCCCTTGCCATCCATATTTGATTGATACCAATGTTTTGCAACTCTGCGAAATAAGCTATTTCTGGTGCCTTAAGGCTAAGACTGGATTAATACTTAGTAAGTTTATGAGAAAGCAATCTGAGCTATGTCTCAGTTTTGACCAACAGCACTAGAGGATATAGAATCAAAGGATCTTACACCCATCTAACCTTTAATAACATCCTTAAAAAACTTCCTGATTTAACAGACTTTTACAGCCTGCATTCTACACAGGCATTACAGTCAAAACTGTCTACATGCTGTTCATGATTTAGACCTGGGCCATCTATGGCATGTGCAGTCAGCCTTTGCTACTACATACCATCTAGGCTAGAATCATTACTAAGATAAAAACGTTATACATGATTTAGTTATCAATTTAAAACACAGAATACTTTTTGTTAACAGGGTAACAGCTGCCAAATGTGGTGGTCTATTTACGTTGTATGGTGCTTCTTTTTTTTTAAATAAAAACATCAGAGAATTGCACAAATTCTGTATAATGCACAACCTCAGCATTGCACACATATTACACTCATTATACATAAAAAAGTTAATTATTTCACGAAGCTTTATGCATCACTATAATTGTTGCCATAAAGTTATTATGCCAATGTTTATGTTTGATGCCAAGTGGTAACTTATTAACAGAAAAATACCAAAAATAGGAAAAGAAAGAAAAAAAAGCTTTTACCGTATATACTCGCGTATAAGTCGACCCCCCACTTCGACATAAAAAATTCATAGAAAATAAGAAACCCGCGTATAAGTTGACCCCCCACTTTCGAAATCGATCGAGAAACTTCGAAAAAATTTTTTTAAGTACTACATTTATTAATTTTTTTAAGTACTACATTTATTCATCTGAGAAAAAAGTAAATATACGATAAAAAATACCTTAGTAAATAAACAAAATCAAAATCCTTCAATGTATGATTCATGGTCAGATTCGCCAAACATTTCATAGAACTCTTCTGTCGTCATTGGCTCGTCATCATACATATTTTCAGTCTCGAACTCTGTATTGTTACAATCACTACTACAGCCTTCGTCGTCATTTTCACTTTCAAACACAGCATCATCTTCCGTTGTTCGTTGCTAATACAACATTTTTTAAATGATTTTATAATCATTCAGAGGGTATTTCGCAGGCATTCGCATTTTTCAGGGGCAAAAACATAAAAATTTCCAAAAGTGTCCACAATTTTGGCCACCACTGTAGTTTGTAACATAATTTAAGTCATGAAATTACTTCAAGTAAGTGACTTATTTGATAAGTCGTCCAATTCGAGTGCGGGAAAAAAACAACTGCATTACACAAAGAAATTTTTGAACTTCCGATTCTTTTAATTTTTTATGGCCCCGCGTATAAGTCGACCCCCCCCACTTTGAAGTCTTTTTTTTTGCCCAAAATATCTCGACTTATACGCGGGTATATACGGTAATACTTTGAGAAACATGTGCCAAACTTTTGACAAATGCAAAGCATACTAGATCACTGATTACTGTTTAAACTCCTAACTGTTGTTCGGCATATTACTTTAATTATATTAATGTTCAATGTAAATATAAATACTACACACAAACCCAATGATTAAAAATTAATGGTTCATTTCACAAAAAAAAAAAAAAAAAAAAAATCACTGTACGAGAAAACTATAGACTATGTTAATTTAAATTTCTCTCAATAAGCTTTCATCAGTTTCCACAATTTGTGTCAAGCAATTTTGATACAAGATAAGAAATTGGCCCGTCCCTTTATCAAGTAATTATTCCAATCCATCACTGTTGATTCTTTTGAAGCAAAACTCTTGGTACTATGAGTTCACATAGCAGTAATGATTAAATAACCATGCTTATGTTCAAAACGCCTTTTTCTTCCTTGCATGAATGAGAGCAGCATTACTGTTTCGCCTTCTGTCAACATTTTAGATGCTATCTGAGCACAATCTTTCTTTGGGATGAATCTCTATTTCTTGAAAAACACAAGACAAGTGTCTATTCATCACTTGGTAAATTTGTTGCGAAACTGGCGAATACCAGGACAAAAAAAGTGTCAGGTGGTATAATTTTAACGGAGAAGTACTAAATTATTAATATTCAGTTTCTGCTAGCAGAGAATAATTTTTAATAGACAAAATAAAAAATATCTGAAGAAATAAACAATTGGCTGCATACCTTTTTCAGGAAAAAAGTTTAAATTTTAGTTAGAAGTTTTTAGTTTATCAATTTTCACCATAAAACTATATTGCAAACCAATTTAAATACACTATTTTAAATTATAAAAAGAAAATTTTAAGAGAATAAATATAATAGCATTTAAATACATGTATTGCTCATGTTCTTAAGCCACTAACATTACATTAACGATAAAAAAAAAAGAGTAAACAAACTTTCTTGAAAGCTTCACTTCATTTAAAAGACAGCGAACACTGCGAACGGAAATTCAGGAATGTACATAATACATAATCATTTAGAAAATTTATTTTGATACCACATATCATTTTTTTTTTAATTTTGTAAATTAAAACAAACACATATACATGCACAAAGTTTCACCTAAATGTGATTAATTATAATATTTTACAAGGTGATCACTCATCAACAACATACTTAGTTGAAGTTCATATAAATTAATGATATAATGCATTGTAAAAATATATTTCCTGCCTTCTCAAAATATTGGAAGATAGTAACAGTAGTTAAAAAATTAACACATTAAGTTCATAAATAAAAATTAATAATAGCAAAGTTTTCCACACTCATAGTACAACTGTTAAGTACCTTACAAATCATACATAAAATCTGTGTTGGCAAAAAATGTGCAAATCAATAACAAAGTAATAGTTAACAAAAAAATAAACTAAAGACTACATTAACGCATAGCAATACATGTTTGTAAAATCAGTTTCTTACAGAAGTGTCGTCATGATTATCCAATTTTTATTTTTGAATGCCAGAAAGTGAAAACCACTATCTCATAATACACTAACTAAATACACACCTAATCAAGAAAACAAACTTAGCATATTCACGATATACAAAATATATGTAAATATTACTTATATTTCTTAGCGATAGGCGGTTTTCGAACAGTACAAATGAAACCAAAAAATTTCACCGCTTATTTTTTTTTTTTTTTTTTTACATGAAAGATCTGATAACTACAGAAATCATCCCCCTCATACGAACATCTGATATTCAAAAACACAGAGATCGGAACAAAAATTAATCACATTTACGGTGAACAATTGCCAATATAGCGGAAAATTTTCCATAAAATTCTTTATTTACAAAAATATACCGAACTTACTTGACTGCATATGTGCAGCTTTTCATTGCCTTTCTCCAGAGAGTATAAAGCTATATACGCTTTCCATAAACAAGGGCACTAATAAAAATAATTCAAGTTTAATTTTCATTCCTCAGGTAAAATTATAACTGATATCATGTAGTGTAATATATATTTTATGTACTGCACAATGCCGATTACGAGTTAACGTCAACGGCAGCAAGTTAGGCTTAATTCTTCTCCCAGCCACGTACGTATGACTCGTTCACCGATTTCCTGTTATACATACAGCTTAGACGAGAGCTTGCATACCTGTAGCATTACATTGCCAAAAGGTGGTTTCTATTTTGATATCGATAAATTCGATTATTTCTCGTATCATTTTAAAATATTTAATAAGTAAATTTTATAAGTTTTAGACACAAAAATTAATAAAATGAAAGTAGTAATAATTAAACCATGAGATAAAAATAAATAGAAACAAATTTTTTTAAAAAAGAGGAGAAATTACAAAAGTCTGAATTACACAACGATATTTGTTAAACAAGACTCTTTCTTACAAAGGTTTTTAATTTTAGTTGTAAAACTGACGATAATAATTTCCAACGCAAAAAATTTTCACACATACATCTTTTTCGGAGTAGACATACAAAACTAACACGCTGAAAAATCTCTATACCAAGCATATAATCATGAGAGCAAGCGAAATAAATCAAGCTAGCATTTTATTTAAACAATACGCTTGAAATACTGATTATTTAATTAAAGTATGATGCAAAAACTTAACAAATTACGACCAAAACATGAAATTATTCTCTTGTTCAAAAAATGCTACATTAATCACTTGCAATGTATTTCGTTAACTGTTACTTCCTTCAAGTCAGCAGTTTACTAAGCAAATAATTTCCATCTTTTCCAACCAGTACAAAATGCGACATATGTGACATGAATTTAGAAAAACCTGTGATTTACTGCAAAGCATAAAGTTTTAAGCTATAATTCCCATTCTCTCCAAACCAGTCAAATTATCCGAAACTTACCTCCATCACCGTAAACAAAAGCCATTAAAAATAATAAATACAAATAAAAGTATTTTCCAGCTTTCTTGTTATACCACAACCTGCGCAAATCAATCCTATGGAAAAGGATCCAATTCATCGATTTTATCGCTAGATGTCGTTACTGCAGCAGGTTTTTTTTTTTTTTTTTTTAATATTGAAAAAAAAAAAAAAAAAAAAAAAAAAAAGCAATGATACTATTTCAACCACATAAATATACAGAACTCTTCTTTCTCTCTTATTTTAGAAATATTATATTACTACATGCCAATTTAATGAACACAAATGCAACAATATTTAGTTAATTCATATTGAAGTTTTTATGTGCATTATCATGATTGAATTCATAGATACATTCGATAGAAATAAACAATTTAGTATATAACTATTACATAACTATAAGGCAGTCAGAAGAATTTCATAGCATCCAGTGAATAACGGGCTAAACACACTAACTTACTTGAATTATGACCAAATACTTCAACAATTTATTAACACAGCAATATTTAAAGTTACTTACAACATTTCATCTGTTATCTAATATTATTCCAGTTAATAAATATTACCTTCATTATAGTAAATAAAAGCTATTATAAAAAGTCACAAATTTCAAATAATATTTAACAGTAATACTGTGCCTACAATATCTACATTAACAGAAACAATATTACTACAAAATCGGCCATAACAATCCGACTAGATCTTTTACTCCAGTAGAGTCCGCGTCCATACGAGCCAGTTTGTCTTAGAACGCCCCCTACAAAGACACATCTCCCTTTAGCCAGATAGCCCTAGTGTGCTTTGCTAATAAACTAAACCAGACCAATGTCCGAATTCCAATACTGCGAGTTTTCCTCCCGCTTTTTGTTGCCTACTGTGATCGAGGGGTAAAATCGGACCGAGGTTCGAATCCCGCGAATGGGCGTTTTCGTGGTTCTCCCCACGTGTAACGTGTATACGAGTCAGTTTTCCTTAGAAAGTCCTCCACGAACGCATCCCTCTCCTTAGGCAGATAGCCCTCGACTGTTTTGCCATAATCAAATACACCACCCACTTTTTATTTCATAACGAGGGTTCAGACTCGTGGTCTAATCTCCATCGAAACTGATTAATTATTACGAAATATTGTATGGTCCCAATAATTGTTGATAAGGAGTTACTTGACATATAAGGGCATTGCCGGGCGCATAAAATGTAACAGGTGGTGATAAATTGATGACATGAGGTTAACGCCGAAAGTTCTTTACGTACAAATCAAAGCACATACATGTTTACACAAGCAAGTGGAACAATTTTAGGCGACTATCACAACACATTAATCACGAAGCAATAAGAAATATTACAAAATTTGCATTTCACATAATTACAGGAATTGTAGTAATTATTATAGGTAAGAATGATGTTATTGTTTGAGTTCCTAAGATTCAAACGGAAAATAGTATGTGTCCAGGTGATGAAAGTAGGTACGAAATTGTGCTATGCCCAATTCGTCATGGATTACATTATTCTTGACAAATGACAGGAAGTAGGTGATTTGTCTCTTGCAATTCTGCACAGCAAGGTTGGCTTTGCAACAGTATGCCCAAACAAAGTAGGTATAACTAAGCATGGGAATCAATATGGCTTTGTAAATGTGTAACTTGTTGTCCACAGATAAAACGCCATTCCACGAAATTAAGGGGGGAAGTTTAGCTTTACAGACTCAGAACTTCTGGATAATAGATAGTACATATGGAGATCATGTGAGATTTTTGGCGAGGATTGCCGTGAGATAGGTGACACACCTAGCCCAGCAAGGGGAGGAATCATTACAGTTTTATAATTCCATCAATCTTCCTTTTCCTTGTAAAAAAAAAAAAAAAAAAAAAAAAAAACTGTACATTTGCATACAGTGATTTCCACTCTCCGTCTAACTCGCCAGGTATCAAGTGGCTGGATGCGGTTTCGTAATGTTTTTATTGCCGGACGAAGAAGTGGATTTTGTGAGAGAATCGCAGTGTCATCAGCATAAAGTGCTTGCATGGTGTTGGCTTTTTGCAGAATGTCGTTCACATACAAAATGAAAAGTAGAGATTCCAGCAGCGATCATTGGAGTACACCAGCTAGGATAGCACAGTGGGAGGAGTATGTGCATGAGATGCAAACGACGAAGTTTCTAACTCTCAGGCAGGATTAATGATGTTCCTTGATGTCCTCTAGGAAACCTAGGGTGGATAATTTGTGAATGAGACCGTTCAGCCAGACCCTATCGAAAGCTTTGGCTATATCCAGGAAAAGTCCCACTATAAACATTCTGTTAACGGTCTTTCGCAATGTGTTCAACCACTCATTAGAGCTGATGTGTAGTGGAAGGGCAGCGGCGAAAACCTAACTTATGCGGAATTTTACGACTTTTTTCTTTGATAACAGAACTTACTGTTGCTAGAACTACAGCCTCGACGATCTTGCCTTACTGTAGGTAGCAGGCTTATCCAGGGTTCATAGCCACATTTTAGTTAAAAAATTAAGCACCTATAAGCACTTTTCAAGCACATTTTAAGAAAAAAAAATAAGCACCTGTCTAATTACATTATACACAACTGCATAACCTTAAAAGAAAAATTAGACTTGCAATTCAAAATATGACCAATGCAATATTTATTAAAAGAATAAGTTTTACCTCAACCATGGAAAACAATTAACTTTTTTTTTAAATTTTAAATGACAGTTCAATTTACAGAATTCGTTTACAATGAGAGAAAAAAAACACTATGCAGAACTAAACTATATTACAAGATTTAATGATGAAATTTCAGTTCAAAATATAAAAATAATAATAATAAGCCATATTAATTGTATTCGCTTGGCACCTAATAATAAATACAATTTATTTTTCCTCTTATATTAAAGAATTTAACTTTAATCAAAATTCTGAACATTTTCTAAATTTTCATTGCATAACTGTTTTCCCTTAACATATATTCCAAGCAAAGTAATTTAAGTAAAAAAGAGGAAAATTTCTGAAATCAGGAGAGGGGAAATTGCTTCATGCAGTCATCCTTTAACAGTAAAAAGCTTAACTAACCCGCATACTCGGAAATTGCCAAATATTCCGTATAGTCGAGCGTAACTGGAAAAAGAGGAGGAGGGGAGATTGTAGCCGTTTTTTAGATTGCTCGGCTAAATAAATGATTTTGACATTCCGATATGTGCTTCATATAAAAGTAGACCAACAAAACTGAGAAATATTCTGCTTAGAAAGAACAGTAAAAGTGTTCATAAATAAATCTCAGACTGAACATCAAAATTAATTATCTCTGCAAAATACCGCAAACGTTATTGCGCAATACATGCGACGTAATTCTTCCATACGTGATATTACGCAATCGGAATCATCAGCTGCCGGTATTCGGACAATAAAGAACTAAATAAAGGAAAAGAAAGAGACTTACTAATCTCAGGTGTTTTGATTCTAATTTTGAACAGACCGTTCAATTTCCGGAATAGAATCATTCTTCGCTTGGGTTGGGTAGACCGCAAAACTTTTAGTCCTATTCAATCCAGATTGGACAATGACAAAAAAAAAAAAAAAAAAAAAAAAAAAAAAATGTCCGCTGCTTCAATATTAGAGATTTTGCGGAGAAAGGGGAGAACCTCCCAACCTCCGTACTGTATAATGTATTGGGAAAAAAAAATATATTCTGACTATTTGATTACTTTCCTTTTATTTAAGCCATTCCCAATATTATTCCTTAGAAAGCTAATATGTGTAAAAATAAACCCATTTTTGGAAGTTTATCTACACTTCAGTAGCTACTGCAACTATATTATAAATATTCATACATATGCTCATAATAACCACGAATATGAATATGAATATGAATATAATACACGAATATGCACCACGCAGAACGAGAATGTAAATTATTAAAATCTTGATAGAAATTCAAACATGTGTAGTATTTGGGTGGGAGGAAAAGAATACCAAATGTACCGGAATTTCTACGGTTTTCGCAGTTCTTTGACCAATAGAACGACGTGCACCTGTCTGTATTCTCGTGCGTACCATAGGTTACGTTAATGCGGAGAAAGGGGGAAAAGCTATTTCAGGGAGTATGATTCACCATCTGATGTTCCATGTAAGGAAGAAAAGTTGTTTATTTAGTTTCGGCTTTGGTACGGGGGGAAATAGCGCGTTCATTAAAAAAAGCACTAAAAGCA